TTAGATATATAAGAACAAAGAAAACTCTATTTTCTCCACATTATTTTGTGGCTGTACTCATTATTTTTTTAATGTGTTTGGTTCTGTTTTACTTGACACTGAAATTGACGTTTAGACGAAAATGTTGCTGATTTGGTTTGGATAAAGTTGAATTTATTTGTGCTTGTATGAACGGACGACTTACATTTAAGATCAACCAGGTATTCGCTTATTAAAGCTTTCACCATTTTTGCGTGTGAGCGTCGAAAGAAACACCTAGAATGATCACTAGGAGATTGTGAGTAACCGTATTGAGGCGGTACCTGCTCTCTAGCTTGATGTCGGAGTTGATCTTGCCAATTTCATGCATTTTCTACAGAACTAAATGATCATGTACTTCGTTCAGATTCTCTCGTGTGTCGATGGTAAAGTCTTTTGAACAATTGACCGCTTTTTTACAATAATTCAACGCTTCGTCATAATTTTTAGTATAAAAATGAGCAAGTCCAATATTATCAAGATTACGAGCTGGCTTTTGATGATCAGGTGGAAAAACCTTCTCATTTTTTACCAACGCTGTTACGTAAAAATCTAGCGCCCTTTTATAGTCACCTTTTCTATAATAAACATTCCCGATGTTCTTAAGAGTTATGGAAATGTTTCGATGATTAGGTGGCAAAATTTTATTATTAATTTTTTGTGCTTGTTCTAGTATTTGTAGTATGATCTACATCGTTGAAAGTGCAACTATCAATTTTAAATGCCGCACCTAAGTAGACAGTATAAATCTATTGATTCCTTGTTTAAGGTGAAAAATTTTATGGCAGAAATCAAGATTAAAATTACCTTTTTACATGTTGAAACGTCTCAATTTGAAATGGTCATTTCAACATGTAAAAAGGTGATTTTAATCTTGATTTCTAGTATAAATCTATACAAGAAAATTTTTTGGAGAGAACTAATTTAACATTAGAAAATATATACTGCAGTTCTTGAGAGCTGCAGAATATCATTCCTAATGGTTATATGCACTAGCAGAGACAGAGGTCTGTATGGTTTTCCTGCATTTTAATACACTTTTATATACTCAGTATAACTTTAATAGAAATGTAGTGAAGGATTAGTTGTGATATAGTTTTTCAGAATTTTGTGACATTGAATATTAGAAAAGTCTCAAACCACAATTTGCCGCACCACAGATTTTCGATAATAATAAGTCTCTACTCATCCGGGCTAAGTTTCGGAACAGTCAGAAAAAAAAAACGAGGAAGAGTTACCTAAATCAAAAAGTACTTCTTGTTTAGTTGGAAATATACTGATTGAAGCTATATCGGCACTAATAATGCTTCTCAATCGAATATCAGTTTTAATCTCAAATAGCATTTCTGGCAAAACGATAAACTGCTTTTCTTGAACGACTTGTTGATAAAAAGTCATTTGTTGATATCAAATTACCAACATTCTTTTTCAATGTATCTAACTCATCACTGCTTAAATTAACTCCACGATATAAATCAATAATTGGTTGTGGTTCAATCTTTTTTAGCTCTTTGTATTTTCGTGCTAAATTCAAGCTTAGATCAATGATGAAAAATCGAAATATAAATAATTCATCAATATCCTCGGTTCTAAGAGCTTTGTTGACAATTTGATAAACAAAAGTGTCCTCTGTGTACCATTTTATAGCGTCATTAGACTTATATGTTAAATCAAACGTATTAACATTTTCTAACCGTTTTTCGTTGCCACGATAATATTCACGACATTTGTCAATCATTTCCTGTTTGGATTCCGGTGTTTTAGGCATATTTAATAAAACATTTTTGAGCAGTTGAAAGAATAAAAATGATCCCGATTCTGTTGTTAAATCACGGGTAGCTTTCTGTTGTTGATCACGAAAATTCAGTGTGATCAATTGCTTTTCAACTAATTTAATAGTTTTTTGTACATTTTCCATAAGATCTTGTCGTTCAGTATAAACACCGACAATTTTTGAATAGGTGGTTTTTAAGGACAAACAATTGTCTCTATCTATGCAAACAATAAATACGGAATCTACTTGTTTTAAATGATGAATTTGTGTCAACACATTAGCACGTGAACCCCAAATGATAAGAAATATTTTACTGAGTTCAGTTGAGCGAATATATTCTACACATGAATTTTCTTCATGATAAAATTTGCAGTAATCATTAATTTGAGGAAGTGACTGTTTTCGACGGATTAGATCATCTCCACTTGATCCACATTGAAGTTCTTCTTCATCCCACGAAACCAGTGTTATTTCTTCTGCGTTTGGTTCCTTTCTTTCAACGTCTACAGCAGATAAGTCTGGCGGTAACGCAAGACCGATATTAGTATATGTAGCATTTGTTTTTTTCGATGATCTAGTTCCCATAGAGATTTTTATTTAAGAAAATCTAGAATTGTTACAAATTAACTTACCATGCAGTTTCACTGTTACATTTATAGTATAGTGTCTAAGCAGGCCAGAGCAGGATCTTTTAATATACATATAAAAATATGCAACTTATCAGCGACCTTGGTTCAGAAGTCCAGCGGTGATCTCGTACACTCAAAATTTGCTCGTGAAATATATTTGTTCATTTCAGCACAGCTGTTACATGAAGTTGAACAACATTATGTATGATTAGGAAACGAGACGCATCATCTCTCTTCTATTGGTTTTGAACCATGAAACCGATAGGAGACAGAGTTCCAAGATCATTCTTGAGCTAATTTGAACAAGCAGAGAAGTCGCTTGAATCCCATTACAATACATCGTATCCATCTAGTGTAGGGCGCTTGCCACTAGATGCAAGTAGTTACAAATCGCACCGCTTAAAATTAGAAAATCGGTAATTATCGTTTTTCTCTATGAATATTGAACAGTAGCAAAGTTGGGTCCTAGCAGTAGGGGTGGGACAGTTCCAGTTCTCATTGTTCCTAGTAACTGGTAAAAAGAACTGGTGACCAGTTACCGTTCCTAGTAACTGGAACTGGTGACCAGTTACCGTTCCTAG